CCCCAAAGACAGGGCCTGTGGATCCGCACCAACAGGGAGGGGGGCGCTTTTTTTATACAGCTGTTCAGTGAGGGCGGGGGAGCATGAGCTGTGGGAGTTCCGCCGTGGGGGTCGTCACGGTTTCCAGGTGTCGTCATCTGCCTGGTAGCTGGCCTGTTAGGAATTCCAGGGCGGGACCGGTACCTGCGTCACCATCTACCTGGTGCCCTGGCCTGTTACGGATTCTAGGAAGGGCCCGGTATCTGCGTCACCATCTGCCTGGCAGAGGCATGCATCAGCTCCTGGACCCCCTTTCGGCCTAACATATATGAAAAGGGCGGGAGGATAGTAGAGTTCAAGCATCTTTTATTTTAGTACAAATTGGCAGCTACAAAATCATGGGGATGTAAAGTACAGCTCAGGGAATATAGTCAATAATATTGTAATAACGATGGATGGGGCCAGGTGGGGACTAGACTTCCTGGGGTGATCACTTTGTAAAGCATAGGACTGTCTGTCTGACTGTGCGCTGTACAGCCGGAACTGGTATAAACTAATATTAAATGTCACCTATCATTGAAAAATTAAAAATTATTATTATTTTTTTAATGGTGCACTTTTTAAAAATACATATATTTTATTGATTTTTCACAGTGAGGAAGGGAGAGGGATAGAGAGTTAGAAACATCGATCAGCTGCCTCCTGCACACCCCCTACTGGGCATGTGCCCGCAGCCAAGGTACATGCCCTTGACCGGAATCGAACTTGGGACCCTTCCGTCCACAGGCCGACGCTCTGTCCACTGAGACAAACCGGTTAGGGCTGGAAAATTAAAAATTATTTTAAAAGAAGCTTCTGCCCTGGCCGGTTTGGCTCAGTGGATAGACCCTCAGCCTGAGGACTGAAGGGTCCCGGGTTCAATTCCGGTCAAGGGCATATGCCCGGGTTACAGGCTCGATCCCCAGTAGGGGGCATGCAGGAGGCAGCAGATCCATGAATCTCTCTCATCATTGATGTTTCTATCTCTCTCTCCCTCTCTCTTCCTCTCTGAAATCAATAAAAAAATATATTAAAAAATAAAAGGAAAGAAGCTTCTATTTTGCTTCACTACAAAGAAATAAGGTGAAGAGAGGCCAGTTAGTGCTTTGGTAAATGATCCCACAATGTAATGTGGCTCCAGTTACTTGTCTGTGAGAGGCCTCTAGTCCAGTGATGGCGAACCTTTTGAGCTCGGCGTGTCAGCATTTTGAAAAACCCTAACTTAACTCTGGTGCCGTGTCACATCTAGAAATTTTTTGATCTTTGCAACCATAGTCAAACAAAGACTTATATTTTTGATATTTATTTTATATGTTTAAATGCCATTGAACAAAGAAAAATCAACCCAAAAAATGAGTTCGCGTGTCACCTCTGACACGCGTGTCATAGGTTCGCCATCACTGCTCTAGTCCCTCCTCCCACTTCCGGGAAGGCCACGAAGACCCCGGGTAGGAAAGAGGGTGCAGAGGGAGGGCCCCCCCTGGACGGAGAGCCGTTTCCCCGTGAGCAGAGGTCCCTCCCCCAGGCAGACATCTCCGGCTGGGCACAAAGTCAAGCAGAAAAAAGTGTGCTGACGATCCCTCTTCCCAGTATTCATCTCCGTTTATAATTGCACGCTCATTGGTGTGATTATGGGGTCAGCATGTTTCCATCTCCGGAAGGTCGGCTCCTCGGGGGTCCCTTTCACTCTGCACTGTATGCTGAGCCCCAGGACCCAGGAGCCGTGGCCCCGGGCCTGGCTGGCTTCGGGGGCTTTGCAGGGATTTGGGGGGCACGTGCTCCTTACAAGGACTCTGGGAGGGTCAGGCAGGAGGAAGGGAGGTGCGGGGAGGGCGAGCACAGTATGAAAGAGGGGGGGGGAGGGTGTTGCACACCAGACCCGGGTGTTCAGGGCCCACATTCCCAACCCCCGCCCGCGCTGGTCCTGGGGTCCAGGGGTGAACGCGCATGCACAGATCTCCTTTCAGCATCCTCAGTGCAGGAGGGAGGAGGAGAGGGTCCCGCCAAGGAGTGCAGCGCTTGAGTGAGGCGGGCTACCCCGCGTCTCCTGGGTGACAGTGGTCTCCGCGAGGGGGAGGCCGCTTTAACCCTGGGACAGGGCATAATCTATATATATAAAAGCCTAAGTGACCGAACAACCAAATAACTGGTCAACTGGTTGCTATGACATGCACTGACCATCAGGTGGCAGACGCTCAACGCAGGAGCTGCCCTCTGGTGGTCAGTGCGCTCCCACAGCCAACCTCCTCCAGCCAGCCGCCCTCCCCCTCCCCCCACTGGCCCCGATCACCAGCCAGACCAAGGGACCCCACCCGCGCACGGAGAGAGAGAGAGAGAGAGAGAGAGAGAGAAGCATGGATGTGAGAGATACACATCCATGGGTTGCCTCCTGCACAGGGATCGAACCTGCAACCTAGGTATGTGTCCTTGACCAGGAATCGAACCCATGACCCTTTGGTTGCGGGCCGACACTCTAACCACTGAGCAACACCACCCAGGGCATGTCCACATGCTTAGCTACTTGTTACGGCAGCACCCCATTTCCGGGAACTACAATCTGTACTGGTCTAGAGCCACCATAACAGAATATGACAGACGGGGTGACTCAAACCACAGAAATGTATTGTCTCATGGTTCTGGGGGCTGGAAGTTCAAGATCAAGGTGTCTGGCCCTGACCGGTGTGGCTCAGTGGATAGAGCGTCGGCCTGGGGACTGAAGGGTCCCAGGTTCGATTCCGGTCAAGGGCATGTACCTTGGTTGTGGGCGCATCCCCGGTGCGGGGTGTGCAGGAGGCAGCTGATCGGTGTTTCTCTCTCATTGATGTTTCTAACTCTGTATCCCTCTCCCTTCCTCTCTGTAAAAAATCAATAAAATATTAAAAAAAAAAAAAAAAGATCAAGGTGTCTGAGGGTTGGTCTGTTCTGCGGCCGGGAGGGAGGAACCATTCAGGCTCATAAATGCCACTTTCTCCCCGACTCGCCTCACCTCATCCTCCGTCTGGACAAGTCTATGACCTCATCTCCTTGGCTTGCAGGGACACGAGGTACCCAGGTGACCTGGTTTTAATGTGATTACTTCCGTAAAAACCCCCATCTCCAAAAAAGGTCACATTCTATCCTGGCCGGGTAGCTCAGTTGGTTAGAGCATCGTCCACACACACAAAGGTTGAGGGTTCAATCCCTGGTCAGGGCACACACAAGAATCAACCAATGCCCTGGCTGGTGTGGCTCAGTGGATAGAGTGTCGGCCTGGGGACTGAAGGGTCCTGGGTTCGATTCCATTCAAGGGCACATGCCCGAGGTGCGGGCTCGGTCCCCAGGAGGGGGCGTGCAGGAGGCAGCCGATCAATGATTCTCTCTTATCACTGATGTTTCAATCTCTCTCTCCCTCTTCTTCCTTCCTCTTTGAAATTAATAAAAATTAAAAAAAATCAACCAATGAATGAATAAATAAATGGAACAACAAATCTTTCTCTTTCTCTCCCTTCCTCTCTCTAAAGTCAATAAATAAATAAAATTTAAAAACAAACAGCCCAACTGGCGTGGCTCAGTGGTTGAGCATCAACCTATGAACCAGGAGGTCACGGTTCGATTCCCGGTCAGGGCACATGCCCAGGTTTTGGGCTCGGTTCCCAGTGTGGGGCGTGCAGGAGGCAGCCGATCGATGATTCTCTCTCATCATTGATGTTTCTATCTCTCTCTCCTTCGCCCTTCCTCTCTGAAATCAATAAAGAAATATATAAATATATATTTTTTAAATATGTTTTATTGATTTTCTACAGAGAGGAAGGGAGAGGGATAGAGAGTTAGAAACATCGATGAGAGAGAAACATCGATCAGCTGCCTCCTGCATGCCCCCCACTGGGTATGTGCCCGCAACCAAGGTACATGCCCTTGACTGGAATCGAACCTGGGACCCCTGAGTCCGCAGGCCGACGCTCTTGACTGGAATCGAACCTGGGACCCTTGAGTCCGCAGGCCGACGCTCTATCCACTGAGCCAAACCGGTTCTGGCAAAGAAATATATTTTTAAAAAAGAAAAAAGAAAAAAGAAGAGCCCTGGCCGGTTTGGTTCAGTGGGTAGACGAGTGATGGCGAACCTTTTGAGCTCCGAGTGCCAACATTTTGAAAAACCCTAACTCAACTCTGGTGCCGTGTCACATCTAGAAATTTTTTGATATTTGCAACCATAGTCAAACAAAGACCTATATTTTTGATATTTCTTTTATATATTTAAATGCCATTGAACCAAGAAAAAATCAACCAAAAAAATGAGTTCAGAGGCGACACGCGTGTCAGAGGTTCGCCATCACCGGTGTCGTGTGTTTCCGGGGGGCAGAGCATGACTTTTCTCTGCCCCAGATGCGCCGATCCCACCACAAACGGACTCCCATTCAGAGCTGTTACAGTTCCAAACCTTTAATCCCAAATCAGACCGCAGTGAGGTCAGACCCAGACATTCT